GTAGCCGGATCCTCATTGCTGTAAATAAGTTCCAGAGGGTTGCTGTTTAGCATGTCTTCGATTTCCTTTCCAGCTATGTTTGCATCTTTGTAGCCCCATCTGGTGGAGTGGGCGTTGAAGTCTCCTAATACTATAGTTTTGTGTGAGATGTTCAGAAAGTCAAAGTTTGGACAATTCTGGGGTGGATTATAGACTGCATATATCTTGAAGTGGTTTTGACATTTCCAAACATTTAATCTGATTATTTCACATTTGTCTTGTGTCGAGCCCATACTCTTGATTAGATCGTAGTGTGAGGTGAGGCCTTCTTTAACTCCAGTTAGAATTCCACTTGCAACTTGCCGGTATTTAGGTGATATGAGGGTAGCAAAATTATTGATCGGTTTAGCATTTTTCCATTCGTTAATAATAGGAAAACAGTGAGATTCTGTAGATGAGTGTGTCACAGGAAGAGATTATGCAGGCCTATTAGACAGACTATGCTAGTTGTGTGCACACATTAACGATGTGTAGTAATAAGCACGAGAGTATGCGCACCAAAGGTAGACGAAACAATCAAACGAAATTTAGTAAAGTCTGAAATTTAAATAAATTAAATAAAGTTGGTAAGAAATTAACCATAAAGGAAGCATTTGTTAGCTTCACCTACAAGTGTTGTCAGCCGACCTTGGCCACAACCTTGAAAACATATCATGGAGTAGTATTTTGAATTTAATGTTACTCTTACTTAAAAGGAGGTAGGAATGCCTAAGACGGAGCTGATTCGAGGAAGAGCGAATGAGTGCGTCAATTAAGCTGCTAACTGTTTGCTTAAAGGAAACGGACATTCCTAAAAGTAAGGTAGAATAATGAGTACAAAACCAATTATATGTTTAAATAAAGGGGCATAATTATAAAGAAACAATGCTACCAATTTTATGACTATATAAGGAGATATTATATTTTTATTCAATTTTAAGAAGCACGATATTTTTCGATATCAGCTTAAATATATATCTCTACTGCAAGCATGGCGACTCTGAGTAATCTTTTTTATTTAAATGTTACGAAGGTAATTGATACTTATTAATTCATGTATGCAATTAAAATAACAGAACTAGAATCTGTCGGATGGGTGTGCAATAGACTTATCTCCACGTGGTGCACCCTGGGCAACGTATACTTATAAGGCAAAAGAGTCTATTTATCGGCAGTCGACTTGACTTCAAACTACTATGATCCGACCATATGTCATTTTCGACCAATTCCTTGGTACTCATCTTACTTTTCCAATTCTTTTATATCTGTCTGTCTCTTTTACATCTGTGGAAAAATCTTTTGTTCCCCCTCTTGACTATTTGCCACTTTGATGTTCCTCCTCCTCTCTGTGAAGCCTGAAGTCAACTAAAAGGTTAATGACAAGTATCAAAACGCCTGCCATATGATATAAATGAATAGAAAAAAGTCGGATATTTTATGAAATAAATAATTTCAAAATGACTTAAAAGACTGTTGATAAACTTCATTTAATTTTAAATTATTTCAAAATTTCCAAAAATAATGTCTTGAATAGGTTCCTTGTAAACGATTTTTAAAGAAATTAAGTACTTTGATTAATAGCATTTTGTAGATAATTAAAATATAAATAATAAATATAAATTTTTTCCCAGTGAACATATTAGCTTTAACGTAATTAATATCTTGATTTGACAAGAGTATCCTTGATCAAATGCATTTGTTTAACCCTAGCAAAATATTTATTGAAAATCCGGAGTAAGTACGATTTTACAAACGGAAGAGATTCTGTGACGAATTCCGTAAATTTCAAATAAAATGGTAAAAAATGATAATTCAGAAGACATTCGTACAGCGTCCGTCGAAAAGGTTTTGGAACCGCTTGTGACACAAATAGCCTTGCTCATTTCACGTACTGATTCCGCTGATCGCCCAAAAGGTTTATCACAAAATAAATCCACAATTCTTGACTTAATTAAGCAAGTAAGCCTTTTTTATTCAAAAATTCTAATATCAAATTATTTTTTTGATTTTTAAAGATCGACTTAGTAAAGGCAGGGTTTATTGTCTTTGTACATATATGTTTATTTAATTATTGCTTTTAATATGTCCTATTCATTCTTATTTTTATTAAAGTCAATAGCAGAGCTTTTACGCTATGCTGAAGATATTGTTTCTGGGTGTCCTGATGTTGCGGGTAATTTTCGGGTAGCTCTTTCTGAAGTCCAAAATATTGGTGGACATTTTCACCATTCCGTCAGCCTCTTCTTGGATAATCCCGTGGATGAGGAGACTCATGCAGAACTTCTAAGGGCTTCACGAAGTCTTCTTTCCTCCGTGACTCGAATCTTGATTTTAGCTGACCTTGTTGATGTAAATCAACTCCATAGTTGCCTTGAGAATATCAAGGGTGACGCTGAATGCATCGGGATCATGACGAATGATGGCGTAGGTATTAAATTTTCTAAATTTCATTTTATCAATAAGAACAGTTATATTGATAGATGGTTTAATTGAAATGCACTTTATATTTTCCTTTTTTTATATTTCTCATTTAATTTTGTATTTCTATATCGAAGCCAGTCTTATAACATTTGTAGAATACATACATTAAAAACAAGCCTACTTCCGAGATTTCCCTTTCCATAGGAATTTTCGCGTTTGTGTGCACTCATGGAAGGTCATTTGGGTACGTTGGAGAACTTGCTCAAATGTCGTAGTCAAGATTTACTCGATGCTAGACAACGCAATGACCTTAATTGCAGTCACTCAGCTCTCACTCTGGCTTGTGCAATGATCGTCACGGCTACGAAGGTACTTTCGGAACTTTCAGAAATCTTTGCTGAGTGTTATTTTTGTTAAGGCGAAAACTTCTATTTTCTTAATTTCTACTATCTGAAATTGTTAAGTCTGCCATGAAGTTACAACTTATTTTGTGATTAACGAAACAACCGATAATATAAGTAATATTATATAAGTAAGATGAAATTTATGTTACCGTAATTGAGAACTATCATTTAAAAATTGTTATAATTCCGGCCAAATAACAACGACATTATTATTATTTAATGAACTAATTTAACAGTTGGCTAGAGGGATGCCTATCTTAGTGTCAATTTGCCATATACGATAAATGAATTCTGTTTATAGGGCTTAAAATGTTCACTTCGTAGTGAATATTGAAGAAAATATACTAGCTCACAATTTATCCACCCATGTCTTTTGCTGGGCTTAAAGTTGTTAGCAATCGAGTGCTATAAGTAATTTCGCTTTCGATAAGCCCAAGGATTGACCTTTGGTTATCAATACTTCCGCTTATTTTAAACTATGCCTTTACAATACTCTTGATATTTCTTTCCCTTGATCCCACAGGCCACTTTTCGATATCCTGACTTGGCCACCTTGAAGGCGAATCGTGAGTTTGCGGTCAAATTGGCTCGGGAGGCTGTGGATCGGTTGGGATGTGCTTGTGACGCCACCTACGCACCTCCGGTTCTCCCGCCTCTACAAGGACAAGCCGTTTCTCGACTCATGCACGAAGTCATGGTAAGTTCAACCTTACCTGGTAAGATTAAAAAGCGGATTGCGATTCGAGAGGAACGGCTGATAGTAAGTGCTGGTAAAGAGGACTGTAGTGTAACTTGGTGGTAATCCCAAGTTATCTGGGGGGGGGGGGGTCGCTTCATCTACTTTTGGATTCGATTTATCCATTTTTTACTTAATCTGGAGTTTACTGATTTGTCACCTGCGTTACTGAGCGAATTGTGAACTGATTGTTTAAATTCTAGCCATGTTTAAAGAGTTTTCAAGCAAAGCTTCAGGTCTTTATTCATTTAAGCCTTGAATTCCTGAACGCATGCATTTTATAATGCTATATTTCCCAATTTCAACCTCTGCTGCTTTCAACTTGGTTTCTAGGTGAATTTACATGTACTTTGCCCGTTGTCTTTCCAGAACATTTCATTAATTTGGATGATTGCCTATGGAACTCTTACAATAGTTTAGCTTTCATTTTTGGTACAAAGTAATTTTTTCAGTTTTTTTGGGGAGGAGGGAGGTGGTGGGGGTTTCCACAAAAATAAAATCTGTTGGCTCTTTGAAATAATACAACTGCCAAAACTATTTCGAATTCAGTAGAATGAGTGGAGAGAATATAAAATGGTTCTTTCTTCAAGGTGGTTAATCTTTTTAGCAAAAAATACAAATGTAGACAAGACCCACTAGGAATTTATCAATGAGCACGTATTTGATGTAGTTATATCGAATTTGGGTTTGATCTCCCTATGATAAATAGTGCTTGTTACTAATAAAGAGTTAAATACATTTTGATTACGAGGTACATTATTTGAATATCAAAATGGGTGAAACAAATTATGCGACTCGCATCTTATCAGCCAATAAAATAGGTAATTTGGTTAAATTGCAGAAAAAATGGAAAATTACTTCCTAAGTATGATAATTTTTAATGGATGTCTGATTGAAACTGTGCGAGGCAATCTGTCAATAGTGGAATTAGTAAAGTACTATCAATAACAATTTCCTTCATTGAGCAGGCGATTGGTGTATTTATTGACTTCTAATTAAAAAAAAACATTTTTCCTAAAAGTAGAAGGATAAATTTTTGCTAAAAGATCACTTCCACCAGTCAATTTTAATCGTCCTCCATTTTAATTGTCATTCATAGGCCACAGCAAATTCAATGCCCGTTTAGAAAACGGACTACTCGCTTTCCTTTTTCCTTGTTTCAGTCTTTTTCGAATGTTATCACACTCAATAGGTGAGGTTAAAAATTTTGGTGTTTGTATTCGCTTTAAAATAATGGAAGAAAGATATTAATTCCATTACGTGAATACTGGTGCTTATGAATGGGAGACAGATAGGAGACAAGTGGCGGGGGGGGGATGGAGGACTTGACACATCTATAACAGGGACCTCACTCCACGATTGGTCGGCAAACTGAGGAAAATTAATAATAGACTACTGTATAAACTAGTTAAGTATATACGAATACACACCGCTTTAGGTTTTAATCAATTTTAGAAATCTGCAGAGACAGGGGTTGGGAAGACAGAGTCCTGGAATAGCATATTCTTCCAAAGCAATGTCCGAAAACTCTCCACAGAAATCGCAGCTTTGATAGAGTCCGCTGGTTTGCCTGATCGCTTTCAATCAGGTATCGCGCGATGCATTCATCAACTCAGTGAAGCTGTCGACCAATTTATCGAAGCTTGGGACTATGAGGTGGGTATTTTTTTGAAAGCATGTGTGTGTGTGTGATTTCTTTTTGTCCAACAATGCACCAGAGCAAAGGGGAAGTCCAATGGAAACCAGGTAAGTTCACAAGTTCAGGTATTTATAGAAGATACGAGTCTGCTAGTTGGAGATGAATCATGCAGAAACAACAACTACTACTTAAATGAATAATTTAGACATCTTACTTTCATAAGTTGAGGGCAAACAATATTTTATGTCCATTAAAGAAAAATTTCCTGCCAAATTTTTTGCTACAGACTGAGCGTAATCTGGTGTCTCATTCATGGTGGCCTCTTTTCTTTCTTTCACTTCCGTATTGATTGATACACTTGGTCGTAACAATACACTAAGCATCGACAGGTCGCTACTTCGTGACCTCTGTTTTGGTAAACATGGATGCCAATTTTGACAGTCAAAATCGACAATGAAATAGAAGACATCGTTGATTCACTATGACTAATTGACTCGACCATCCGAATGTTATGTGCTCTTGCAATTATTTCTTTGCTATACTTTGGCATCTGGCGTGTTATTGTAAGAATATCCACTTAAAATCATCATTTATAAGGGGAAAGTTGACTCACTAAGCTAAAGTAAGAGAGAAGGGTAACAGTCCAGAAGAAAAGGACTTCGTCGGGGCTTAAAAAGTATTCCTCTTTCTTGTAGACACCAGACGGACTGCAGGTTTATGTGGCGACAATCGAGCAGTCATGCTCTCAAATTCGATCGTTTATTTCACAAGGTGCACTAATTCTCTGCTCAACGACCTACATAGCTAATGACTCAGTTCTTTCTCAACTTGAAGAGGCAGCCAAATGTGCAAACGAAGAGAAATTGGTTGCTGCGGTGACTGAAATCCAAGTAAACAGAAACAAAAAAATGAATTCGTATGATAAAATAATTTAGGTGCTCATTTAATTTTTGCGTTTATTGGGGATTAGCCGTTTGCATCTATTCCTTTGACTAACTAATTGACTTACTGCAATTTAGGAAAATTTATTACCACATTTTATAAAGCTAAGATTTTTTGACATTTTTATTTAAACATTTTTTCATTATTTTTGTAATTGTTAGCAACAAACATCAGATCTCCTTGATTCAGCTCTATGTCTTTGTGGAGTATGGAGAGATCCAGGGTTAGTTCGATCAGCTAGGATTGCTGTCAACGATCTGGAACTCCTCGCTCCGCAGTTAATTAACGCCTCAAAAGCCCTTGCTCTCAGAAATCAATCCACAGTAAGTTCGGAAATGTTACATATTCTTGTAGCTGCGCCAGTAGAGGGTACTATAATGTCTGTTAAGCGGAAATTGAGCTATTTTAAACCTCTTATTATTGACCCAAATATGTCAACCGGTTTATAATAATTACCATTTTAGTTAAAATAATTAGTGACACTTCTATTAATAGATTACATCTAATTAAATCGGCTGATAGAAATAGTTTTTGGGATTGTTTAAATGGATTTCAAATAGCAGTGCTTCAAAGAATCAAAGCCTATTCTTGTTTGGGCTCCGAAATCGTCAAGCTATTCGAGGACTGAATATTTTGTTCCATGATGCTTTCCCTCCATCATTGTCATCTTAGTGATATCCAAGATGTTGCAACTTCGTAAGCACTTTCTTTCCACCAATGGCACAAAACAATTCATCATTGAATAAGGAAATTTCATTTTTCTTGAATTACCTCCTTATTCGCATAGGTGCATTTTTTCACTTCACACACATCGATACCCAAGCAGACATCATTTTCACATATCGTTTTATTGTGATATGTGCTATAGTAGATACAGGGCAGGTTTCCATTGGGCTTTAAAATCTAATCCACGTTCAGTTTTTACACCAAACACCCAGCTTCGAGCTTCTTTCTAGTTCTGACAATGTGGGACTCATTAAAAGCTTGACCGTTGTATCACTTTCCCTGTGAAGGATTGAGCAGAGGTTTGGTGTGTTTCTGTGCTGAACAACGACGAGGTTATCAAAGTGCCATTTTCTGCATGTTTATTAATAAAAAATGCTACTCCTTTTTATTTAATAACTGAGTTGTTGTGCTGCACATTGTTTCGGAACGATGTGGCTGTAATTCATCACTGGTATTAATGTTCAACTAATCATTGAATCTCAGTCATTTTATTAGCAAAGAGTTAAATGGGTACCGTGCCTAGTTGTTACGTAAAGCTGTTGGTGCAAGGTCTAAATACTGCAATTACTTAATGTGAATCTACAGCGAATAATAGGAAAACACACAGGATAAGTAGCGGTAACGCATTTATAGGACTTAGCAGAGAGAGAGAGAGAGAGAGGAGAAGATGCAGATAGAGAAGGACCTATCGGTTGGAGTTGATCGGTAAGAGTTGAGATGGAGGGGGGGGGGGGAGAGGTGAATAAATATGTGGTAGAAAAATAATCTGCTGACGTTGGGCCAAGAGGAGGATAGCGTTCGGTAGACTACAGAACTAGTTGAAGCACAGTATGGAAACCCGGCAGTGAGTGGGAGGCGGGAGGGGGGTGGGTGGGTGTGACAACCACGCTGTGATTACTGGTTTAAAGTATTTTTGGACGACCACTTGACTCGTCACAGGACTTTCGATGTAAGGTAAGTGATAATGTTGGAAAAACATTAATCCTAGCATCCACAGTTCACATGAAGTTATTCTTAAATTACCCTTTTCATACTATTCTGTGTTCCTTATCAAACAAGACTCAAGGGTTGTAGAAAATTTTGAGTAAGATTCTGGTAAAATTGTTTGGTTGCTAAAATGATTCCTTGGAGAATAATCTACGATTTTAGATTGCCAAAGAAAATTTCACTCTGTTCGTCCAAGTCTATAGGAATCTGATAAAATTCCTCTTGGAAAGCATTGACGAACTGACGGATGTTGTCGACTTCCTTGATGCTTATGATCGACTTCTTCAGGAGGATATTAACGAATGTCGTGCCAAGGCTGAGGTACCTTAATCAACCTTAGTTTAGAACTACCTTCTCTTCGGTTTTCTAATGCAATAAATATTTATAATTTAGGCCTCTCAAATAAGTGGTATCATGGCTGCTTCTCGCAATCTAACTGCTCGTTGTACACATGCGGTGAAATATATTCTCACTAAACTTGAGAACTCAGATAGTGGTGTCGAAGATGCGGAACAGACTCGGACAGTTCTTGAACATTTAAAGGAGAACGTAAGACGATTACTTATATCGACACCAAAAGATTTCAATTTAAGTGACATCTTGTTGACATTTATAGCTTGTTCCACAATTCTTGGAAGCTACAAGAGCCGTGTGCCGAAGCTTGAAGGCTCGTAATGAACCCCCAGATATAGTATCTATTGGCTGCAAGGGTGAGGCCATAAGAAGTACTTTCAGTGGCCTTAAACACACTCTGGAAGCACTGAGTCAAGGTCGTGGTGTAACGTCAAATTTCGCTCCTACTTCACTGGAAATACATCCACGAACACCATCTTTACCACCAACACCACCACCTCCACATTCCCAACAGCAATCGTTTAAAATGAAAGATACGCATCAGAGTTATACATCAGGTTTGTTTTATGATTAACTTAAAGTAAATTAAAAATTCAGATACCCATTATATAAATGACTAAAATTCTGGGCTGAACGTATTCAGTAAATAAACAACCAATTACAATTATATTTTGTATTTTTTTATAGAATCATCTTGGAAAAGTGGGCACTGAAAGTCGGATATTTTTATCAATTTGGTTATTTTTTTCTTCTAAAGCTAACTCACTAAACACCTTTTGTAATAATAACATAAACAAATTGAATGATTATGACAGAAGACATGTAAACAACATTGCAGGTGTATTTCTAATTCTTTCACCATATATTATTTTAATAAAAAATTTCAATATTAATTATTTTGATGGTGATTTAATGCTCAAACCCCTTTTTGTGGGGTAGAAAGTAGTGGTTGTCATTGCATCTGTCTGACAATTTGAAGGCGACGCGATCGATATTCACCGATGGTGGAATGAAACTCTCCCATTAGAATGACTTCAAGGTAGTTTTCTTCCCCACAAATCAATTAATTGATTTGGGATTTTCCAAATGGAAATGCTCTTCATGAAGAATTAAACTCTAGGTAATAAAATTATTACTTATTCCCAATTGCTATCGTGAAAATATTAGGTTGGCAACTAAGTCATTGCCGATTTCAA